TGGGAGGTGCTTTCTCACTTTTCCTGTTTCTCTCTTTCTTTCTCCAGCAAACGCACATTCCCTTTGGTAATTTTATTTTTTTTAAGTAAGATCCAGGACCAATTCCAGTGCTTACTGATTAAATGCTGTGCAGAGGAAACTGAATCCTACAAGGCCAAATGCCAACCAGAGTTCTAGACCTGGCCCTGGCAGCTTACATGCCAGGCATCTGTGAATGTATTCAGAATTTCTACAAGATGTAAAACACGGGGAAAGTATTGTGGCATGGCCAGGTTCCATTGAAGGTTTTGTTTTGTTTTGTTTTGTTTTGTTTTGTTTCCTCTCTTTCTTTCCCCCATGCATGCACATACACCCTATGGCATAAGAAGAAAATAAAAAGTCAGATCCAGGCCAGCTCTATAGCACAATGGATAGGTGCTGCACAGAGGAAGCAGGATTCCACGTGAACGGTGAGGATTTGAGTCCTGGCCCCACTGCGGATCCTGACAGGAGGTAGAATTGGAGAAAAAGGATTGCCGTGTGACAAACCCTCTTGAAGAGGTGCTTCATCTCTCCCTCTCTCTCTCTTTCTTCCATGCAGACACACATGCCCTCTAGCATTCAAAAATGAAAAAAAAGAAAAGAGAGGAAAAGAAAAAAGATAGAAAGTAAGATTCATAAATAAAGGAAGGTACTTTGTCTGTCTTGTGCATGCCCTCAACTGTCCCCAGTGCCTAAAAAAGGGCCTGTCACATGGTGGGCATTTAATCAGTAGGGAATGATGTACATTAGGTTTTTCTTAGGTGTTTCTAGAGAAAAACTGATATATGAAAGAATGGAAGCATTCTCACTGTGAAATCCTTCATAGAATTTGAAACTTTTGCTCCCAAAACTAAGTGATACTCTAAGATATGCTACATATATCCACAAAAAAAGACCCTTTAGTTTTTTCTTTCTTTTTAAAACTTGCCAGAGGGTGTATGTGCTCACTGGAGAAAGGCAGAGACCAAGGAGAACAAGAAAGCACCCCACATGGGGAATTGTCACGTCGCAATCCTTTCTCCATCTCTTCTGTATTTTGAGATTTTAGGGATGCACGCATACATATAGGGCATGTATCTCAAGCCACAAGATCCAGGAATCAAACTACAGGGTTGGCCATGTGGGATCCAGCTACCCTAACCAGTAGGCCATAATCTGGCCCCAGACCCTTAGCTTTCTATCTCTGTTACTTGCTTTATAGTTGGTAAGGTCAAGTCCAGCCACACTGGTTTAGTTTACTTACATTGCTGTAACAAAATATTACTGACAAGGGCATTTATGAAGAACAAAAACGTATTGTGCACAGTTCTGGAGGCCAAGACATCCAGGATCAAGGAAGGTGTCAGCAGATCAGGTGTCACGTGAGGGCCTGTTCTCCGCTTCAGAGATGGTACTTTCTTACTGAGTCATCACATGGTGGAAGGGGCAAGGCAGCTCCCTTTGATCTCTTTTTAGAAGGACACTAATCCACCCCATGAGAGCACCTCATGATTTAATCCCTTCCCTTAAGCCCTCACTTTTTTTTTTTTTTTGAGAGGTTTTTTTGCTATAGGGCATGTGCGCTCGCCAGACAGAGACAGAGAGACAGAAAGCAAGAAATCACCCTCCGGGGGAATGGCCACGCCACAATCCCTTCTCCTCCATCTCCTCTTGGGATCTTGGGCACGCACGCACACGTACCTGGCGTGAGTTTTAAGCCCCCAGGTCCGGGAAGCGAACCGTGGTCGACTACATGGGAGTCCAGCGACATAGCCATTACACTAACTGCTGGTTCCCAAGCCCCCACATCTTAATACTGTCACATTGGGTATTAAGTTCCAACACATGAATTTGAGGAGTAGAAAACACCAACACTCAGACCACAGTATACACCTAACACTTATTACATGTATAATAGATGCCAGCAAGTTTCCTAAGTGCAATATGTGTATCAACTCACTTAATCGTCATAGCAAGTTCATCAGGCAGACCCAATTATTATCTTGTGGTTTCATAGAGGATGAGCCTACAGCACAGGGAGAGTTATTAAATCACCTGAGGCTGGAGAGTCAGTTAGCTGTTAGTAATGTAGTCACCTGGGACTTGAAACCAGGCATTTGGACTCCACATGATTTCCTCTTCTCTTTCTGAAGCCTTCCCAGAAAGCAGACATCAACCAGGGTTCATGTTCCTTGTCTTTATTTATTTATTTGAGAGGTTTTTGCTATAGGGCGTGTGTGCTCGCCAGACAGAGAGAGAGACAGAGAGAGAAAGCAAGAAATCACCCCCCAGGGGGGATGGCCGCGCTGCAATCCCTTCTCCTCCATTTTCCTCTCAGGATCTTGGGCATGCACACATACGCGCCCGGCGTGAGTTTTAAGCCACCAGGTCCAGGATGCAAACCACGGTCAACTACGTGGGAGACCAGCGACATAGCCATTATGCTAACTGCTGGTCCCTTCCCTTGTCTTTCTTAATCTTGGAGATCCACCTTCTTCCTCTTTCTCTCTGCTAAAGAACTAAAACCATGCTGATTAAGGGAAACAAAAATTACTCATAGATAAGAGGAACCTCCAGTGTTGTAAAATACAGCAGGGAGGAACCACCAGGTAACATTGTGGTTAAGGCACTGGACTCCCACATGACCGACCGTGGTTCAAATCCTGGACCCGGAGGCTTGCTTTCTCACATTCCCTCTCTGTCTCTCATTCTCTTGTTCTGTTTCTCTCTGGTCAAATGAAAAATAAAATAAATTTATATAAATAATTCTTAAAAATAAAAAAAAACTTAGAAGAAAAAAATACATCAAGTAGAATGTGCTTAACATAACTTACTGGGGATCTCAGAATACCTAAAAAAAGAGGATTTTTAATGTCTTCCAGACAAAATAATAACAAATATTTGAGATGATCATATAATAGTTACCCCGATTTAATGATTACACATTTTACTTATGTACTGAAAAGTCACATTGTACCCCTACAAAGATACAATTCTTGTAAGTTAATAAAAGCTTAAAGTCAAAATCTTAGTCAAAAGCTCCTGTGCATATCAACTTTTGCAAATGAATGAAGCAGGGCTATCAGATCCACCCACTTAATGTCTTAAGATGCCCTATTAATAATAATAAAGTTAAATAAAAATCATGCTTAAAAGAAAAAATAAGATGTCACATTAAATTATGCTTCCTCACAATATGATTGTTTCAGATGAAGGCGATTTTGTCTTGTTTAAGACCAAGTTAACTGATCCAAAGAACTTATGAGTTTTAACTTACCTCAGGTCATGGTTGTTGGAGTCAGGCATATATTATACTGTTCTCAGCCTAAGGGAACAGGTGTTTTTTTTGTAGCTGTTGTTTTGTTTTTGTTTTTGTAATTTGCTATAGGGTGCATGTATTTGCTGTGGGGAGAGAGAGACAGAAAAACAGAAAAAGGGGGGATGTGAGAAATTGCTCCCTAAGGGGGAAGACCACACCATAATCCCTTCCCCTCCAGTCTCTTCTCAGGATTTTGGGCACACATGCACATGTGCCTAGTGTGTCTCTGAAGCCACCAAGTCCAGTACTTGAACTACAGTCAGCCAGGTGGGATCCAGCTGCTTTAACCACCGTGCCACCTGCTGGCTCTGACCAAGTAGTTTTATATGGATGAGAATGCTCAAATACTTATCAGTTAAATCTCTGAAAAAAGAAAAGAAGGGGGCCACAGTCAGCACCCTTTAGGGCCTGGAGGAGGGATCTTGGCGGCGTCAAGTACGGCAGCATCAGCAGATGACTGTGTTAGACTGCGGTGCTTAGAATTCTTGCCAGGGCCTCTGCTGGACATCAGGTTCACTGCGGGCAGTCAGACTGCCTTTGCCGACTGGCTCTGCCTCTCATTAGCTGTGGGACCTAAGGCAAACATGGTAACCTCTTTGTGCCTTGGTTTCGCTCTGTGTAAAATGACAGTCACCATGGAAGTTATTGCAGAGACAAATGACCCGAAGCTAATAAAGCACTGAGAACAATATGTGGCATATTATCAGAGCTCAATGTCAGCTACTACTGGTCTTCTCCTTCATCTTGGCCCCTTCATTTTTCCTATTCTTTTAGTTCTATATAGAGTGTGTGTGCTCACCAGAGACTGAGAAAAACAGAGAGAGAGAGAGAGAGATAAAGTGAGAAACCGCCCCATGGGGTGGATGGCTGCACTGCAATTCCTTCTCCTCTAGTCTCCTCTAGAGATTTTGGGCATATGTGCACAAGTACCTGGTGTGGTTTTTAAGCCACCGAGTCTGCGACCCTAACTGTTCAGTCAGCCATGTGGGATTCAGCACCTGAAACTTCATGCCATTTGCTGGTCCTATCTTGGCTTTTTTTTTTTTTTTTAATTTTGCCAGAGCGAGTTTATACTCACTGGAAAGAAACTGAGAAAGAGTACCCTTCCCACACAGGGGAATTAAAGAGACCAAGAAAGAGTACCCTTCCCACACAGGGGAATTATCATTTTAAAATCCCTTCTCCTCTATCTCTCCCTTCCTTTGGGATTTTTAAGATGCACACACATGCACCTGGCATGTTTCTCAAATTATCATGTTACAATCCCTTCTCCTCTATCTCTCCTTTTGGGATTTTGAGCATGCACACACATGCACCTGGCATGTTTCTCAAGCCACCAGTATAGCACTTAAATGACATGGCTGTCCAAGGGAGATCCAGCTGCCTTAACTACCATGCCATGGCCTGGCCCTATCCTGGCTTTCAAACTTATTTGTATGAAATCCTTTGGGCAGCTTTGTCTTAATTACCACTATTATGAAAGGTTATATTTTCCACATCGGATTAAATCTAAGAGTTTTATTTTTTCCCTCAGGAAGGGGGATATAATCTCAAGAATGGGACAATTCAATCGGCAGAAAAGTATACATTTTCTAATGATATATATGTATATGTATGTATTTTCACCCTTTTCTTTATCCATTTAAAGCTTGTAAAAATACCTTATTTTCTGTATGAATAGACACATACGAAGGAGCACTACGAAATCACTCATGGGAAGGATGATCACCCCGCAGTGCCTCTTGAGAAGGAAAAGGGGGCTGTTTTCAGGAAGGGAACACTCAGGACATATGTATGCAACTATCTTACTTCAAAAAAAATCTGAGGTAGTTGTGGAAAATGTTAAGATTTGGTAGTTCAGCTGGTAGGCATGTGTTTATTATTCTCTATACTTTTTATGTTTATGATATTTCACACAATCTTTTTTTAAATTAAAAAAATATATATCTAGACTACAATAGGGCCTTAATTCTGAATAAGATATTTGGTTAGCATTGTCTTTCCATATTAACCAATTATTTGATTCAACAGCCTAAATCGGTATATTTTATTAACCCTCATGGTATATTTATTCTGTCAGCAGAGGTCAGCATGCAAGGAAATATTTGCTCAAACACTTGACTATGGGATACATTGGGTTGCTGGAGAAGTCCTGAGGTATTTTTTCTGTTTTTCTATGCAAATGGATTTAATGAGTTTATGAATTCTTTATTCTTACCATATAAACCCGAGCCTTGGTCCATGACAGCATGGACCACTCTCTACATCATGACTTTCCTGACAACCCGATAATTCCCCTATGTAAGGATTTTCCAATCTTTTTCCCTCTAATCCATGAAATTCTTTCTTGCAGGCTCACCTGTAAGAATAATATCCAAAAGAGCTAAACATGAAGTAAAGTGAGGGCCAGAAACCCCAGAGGCTGCACAGATACCAATGCCATTCATGAACGTGGCTCACTGTGTTCATGCTCCAGGCCTTAGGACTCTCTTCTGAGTTCAAAACCTAAGTCTCCTTTATCTGTTCCTGACAGAGTGCCAGCGTGGTACCTGCTAGAGCTAAACCCCTGAGAGTCAGGGAGTATGGCACTCCCTGATCAGAGGACACCCATGGAAAGTGGATGACACCAGGGAGGCATAGGGATGGAGTAATGTACCCTCTGAAGCTCACAGAAAGTTACTGACAAATAGGTAGTGTTCACCTCCAAAGAAGGATGAGGCTTCATAAGTGAACTACAAGTGGTTTATCTGAGCCATGGCTTAGGAGGTTTTACTGTGGTAGGCAGTTAGTTAGCCATGAGCGGGCAGCCCTAAGAGAAAAGCAAAAGGCTCACCTAGCTTCAGGTGCCAGGAGGGTGAGGCAATTTGCCATATTAATTCCTTGAGGCTTGAGGGAAGTATACAGGGATAGTTCGCAGATTTTCTTTTGTCAAAAGGACCCAAGTAAGCATTTGGTCATTTACACGATAGACTAATTGGGCGATCTAATTGAGGCAACCTGACTCGCACTGGGCATACGCAATTAGGTGACCAAATTCCTCACTTTGCCTGTGAGGAAGGTGCGCAGGTGCAGGAGAGAACGTGTGGATTCAAATTTCAAGGAAGAACATAGGCAGCGTAAGGGGGGCCGCCCACTAATGAATGTTCATGACCTCTAGTAATAAGAATAACGGTTGACCAGTATCAAGCGCGGTTGCCACTTGTCAATCTGCCCGCCCAACAACCTTTTTGGGTGTACTTTCTTCCTTTCCTTTCCTTTCTTGCTATTAAACTTTCTTTTCTATCTACTTCATTCGTGGTTGCGGTTTCATTTTGTGCCTAGGGACAAATATCTAATTTTAGTGATCTGGACCCAAAGAACCAAGGATTTCACAACACAGCTCAACACTTTTCCATCCATTAACATTACCAGGATGAGCAAAATTCTAGTTTCCCAGCGAGAGTAGGCAACATACACATTGAGCTCTCTCCCTGGCATCCTCATTGTCCTATTGTCATACTTCATATGTTGATTTACTTGTTGTGAAGAATTGTTACACTTGACATATTATTTACTGGCTAAGTCAGTAGTTTGCTATGAAGAAAATGTTTGATTGTAATGCTACTTGCCAAGAGCAATCCTGACTCCATTTTGTAGTACATTCAGACTGGTGTTAGTTATGTTCCCAGGATTTCAACATTCAGCCGACACCCTAGTGCTTATCGCTAATAGCAGACTAGCCATATGCTGATTGATAGTATAAAGCACGTAAGCGTGGCCTATGTTTCAACCCGCCTCATGACTGGCCAAAATATACAAACAAATCCCAATTTGTTTTGACCAAAATTCCATAGACTTACCTGTAAAATGTTTTGAAAATATTTTGAGGTTTTGTCAAGTCACCGTAAGCCTGTCAAAATCAGACATAAAAAGAGGAGCCTGAGCCCAGCTCATCAGCTCTGTCGACAGCTTGAGACAGATCCCATCTCATTGCATCTGAGACCTCACTTGCTGCTGCAGGCTCTGCCAGTTTGCACAACGACTCCTGCTCTCCCAGACGGCCTTCCACTCTGCTGTCTTTGATGCTCCCCTGTCGGCCACCAGTCCCAACCTCCATACTTTAGGATCACCGGGTGGACTTTTCCTCTTCGTTCGCCCCCAGTCATCTCACAGCAGCTGCCACCATTGTTCTCTAAGATCTCTGTGGAGCTCCTCTCTGGCTCGCCTATTGTGCCCTGTAGATGCCTAGCGTGCTCGGAACTCGGCCTCTCCCGCACCCTTGCAGACTGCATTCCCGTCACCATGCCAGCATAAGATGCTCCAGGCCACATGACTCATGGAGACTTCTAAGCCCCCTTTTACCCTGTGTGATTAAAGCAACCTGAAAGACAAGCCTGAGTCCTGTCCTCATTTTACATGCTAGAGCACAGATTGGCTGTATCTACTTGGGCTGCTAGTAAGAGTGAATCGAACCTCTATTTAACCTGTACTTCCTGAACACCATAAACTCTCCCTCTCTCTCTTGCTCTCTTTCCAAAACTCCCACTTTCCTCTCCTCACTTCAACTAGTGTAGTTGGCAGGACTCGCTCATTTCTGTGTTCAATTAGACTCCAGAAGGATGACTTCCTCCCCCCAGGCAACATAAACTATAATTAGACATAAATAGAATTCCCATAAAAATTGCCATTTGAGTCCAAATTAAGCTGGCAAAACTAATAAATACCTTCCTAAAGAGCCTATATAAGACTGTAGGACCCATAATTGATCTCCAGAGACCTAATGAAAATTGAGAGTAAGAGAAACAAACTCTCACTGAAGGAGAGCCCTCCACCATACTCATTTGGGAGAGACATACCAGTCATTTGCCTGACCCATGAAAAAATGAGATTTAGAGATTTCCTTAGGCGCATCACTAGGTGAAAGAAAAATGCTATTCCCTTTGCCACTGCCCTTGGCTCACAATGGCAACCAATAGAGGAAATACTAATAAAAAGGAAGCTACATAAAAGATCTAGGCAACTCCCACTTAAGAAACCCTAATAATATGGCACCTATAGCCGCCCATATAAACCCCACAGGAGCCACTTCCCTACTGCTCAAAGCCTTAGAACAAATAGATAAAGATAGGAAAGAGGGAAAGAACTTGAAAGCAAGGCCATTGAATCAAGAAAAGTAATGGTTACTCCCACTGGAGAATTTAAAAGCTTCCCTACCATTACTAATAAACATGTAGTTAAGATGGCAGGCCCCAATGAACAAGAAGTAATATTACAACCTTATACTAGATGAGAATTACAAGATATCAGAAAAATGTTGGTCCAGGAGACTAATCAAACTGATGTCTCATGGCTCACTAACGTACAACACAATGGAGCAGGAGCAATTCAATTTACAGCTGATGAAATGTACCAGATAGGCTCTGCTCTCAACCTTCCCAGGCTTCAAGCTGCCCTACACAATCATTTACAACAAATCCAGAACATGTAACATCCCTATGGGACTGGATTAAAATGGCCTGGAAAACAGCCTTCCTGGTGTTCAACCTATGGAACACCAATTTTCGATCATCCTGGACTGATACAAATCAAGCCAGGAAAGAACTAGGAAAAATAATGGTATTATTGGCCATGTATGTAGACAATAAACAGCTGCATTAGTACAATTTATAATTAAGGGTGCATCATCTGACAATGTCCACCCAAATGCTCTTCATGGGCTGCAATATTCCCATGGAAATAAAAGGCAGATTCATGTTACATCAAGACCTAGCCCAACAGGCCCAATATTCATTTTCTTGGATAATACCCAGAAAATAAACAAACATTGAAATTCCCTCATCCATAACAACTCTTTAATTCTCAATGAAATACTAGGCCCAACCAATACAGACAATTTACACGACAAAAACACCCACAATTTCCTAGACCAAAATACCTATACACCCAATCCCAAAATTGGCACAGTAAGAACTCCATAACATCTAATAACCACCAATACCCATTACCAAATTTTAACAAAAATAACCCATTCTCTTCAACCTGACAAATAAACCAGAGAACCAGACCATACTGTGGTGACAATAATCCCTTCTCAAAAAAACACAGGAAGAGGAGGGATATAAAACAAATCCTTCCCCTGGCAAATTTGGATACTCAAAACAAAATAGACTCAGATAACTGCCCATATATTATGGCACAAATCATAATACCCCCTCATAAAAAACCCATACCTAAAGTCTCTCTCCTAGACACAGGCTCCCAAGATTCATTACTTAGAATATTAGAACCTATGAAAGACCCACAAACTCACATACAAAGAGTGTCAGGAAATGTAATCACGTTAACTAAATTCCTAGTAAAAAATAATAATAGGAGATATAATCCTAGAAACCACAATGTTAACTAATCAAACCACTTCCAAACTACTGGGAATGGTCATATTACCCTTAATACTAGACCACATCCCACTCAAACTGGCCCCTTATCTAGCCACAGCCTTAACAGAACCGATCAAACTGCCAGCACCCTCCCAACCATCATTTACTCCTCAATACCCCTTAAGGGGAGGACAAATCATCTGAATTCTCCGGTATGGCTCATCCTTAAACAAAATGGTCAATACCACATCACAATTGATTATAGAAAGCTAAATGAATTATCACCTGACTTACCAGGAAACTTACCAAACACTTTAGACCTAATTAACACCACACAGGCACACAACAAAAATATGCAGCAGCAATAGACTTATCAGATATGTTTTTTGCTATTTCCCTGCATCCAGATTCTAGACCATACAAAACATTTTCATGGGAAGGCATCCAATACCAATTTACCTGCTTGCCTCAAGGGTATAAAAATTCCCCTACAATAGCTCATTCTATTGTCCTCATCTATAGACAGAACAGCTTACAAACCTATCATTTACACACACATAGATGACATTCTATTGAATGATGACCTCGCAGAACTCAAAACAGACTTACAAAATCTTACAGAAACATTACGAGCACAAGGTTGGACCATCAACCCTGACAAAATACAAACACCAGGAACATCTATAAAAATTTGGGGAATAAATTGAAATACTCAAGGCAGAGAAATACCAAACAAAATTATAAATAGATTAATGACATTGAAAATTCCTACCACCAAAATGGAGGCACAAAAATTAATTGGACTATTTGGCTATGGAGAGCACATATTCCATATTTATCAGTACTATTAAAACCAATCTATGATATTACTAGGAAGTCCACTGACTTCCATTGGGGACCAATACAGACACAATGCTCACAGACTATCCAAACATACATAAACACCTACAAAACACTGGCATACCCTAGACCCACAGACACAATTACATTAGACATTACTTTCCACTCCGCACATGCATGCTGGGGAAATCTTCATCAAATCCCTGAAGACGCTATGAGAAGGCCAGTGTCCTTCTACTCCCAAAGATTTCCATACTTACCTCACAAATACTCCCACTTAGAAAAACTTGTACGGGCAACATATACAGCCCTACTACACACAGAGCACCTGTTGCTTCCAACGAACACAATCATTATAAGGGCACCGTCGCCTATCAAAACATGGCTTAAACTGGATGTCAAAGAATTGGCAGGTATCCAAATTGATGACAAACTCATGGCATGGAAATAGTATATTTCCGATGCCTCTGCATGGTTTGACCCCCACAGGCCAGGCCTATGCATAGAATTACTAAATTGCATGGAGCCTGCGTTGCCTGAATTCATGCCACAACCTCTCCCAACACGAATAGCAACAAAGGACCTAACCACCTGGAGTAGCAGTCTCCAAAATGCCTGCTTTATGGATGGATGAACCTCCATAGTGGGGAGCCAAATGTGCTGGAGAGCTGCCGCATTCAATCCTGGCATCAGCAAAAGCCTAATAGCTGAGGGCTCTGACAAATCAACCCAACTCGCACAACTTAAAGCTATACTGAGAGCTACAAAACATGCATTAGAACATAATCACTACACAGTTTACATATTCACAGACTCTAATTTATGTTACCAAGGAATAACAACTTGGTCGCACAATGGAAACTCTCAGACTTCCATATAAATGGCAAATCTTTGTGGTCAATTGACATATGGAAAAAAATTAGACAAAGGCTCCCATAAAATCTCTATTAAAATTACACACATCTCAGCATATACCAACAAAAACACACCAACACATCAGCACAATGACACAGCAGACAAACTTTCCAAAGGTATTCCCACAGACCTCAAACCTACATTAACCTCATTTGAGGCCCAACCACTAAATATTACCTTATAGAGAGATCCAACCACCTGAAACCGGAAAATAAAAACCCCCAATAACAAAATAAAATTAGAAATCCTAATACATCACAATGGCAAATCAAACCTATAGGTACATTCACCATCACTCCTAACTTAATTAGACAATTACACATCTTTCTAGGACATGTACAACAACATATAGTCACTAACTGGCTACACAAAAGAAACTTATGGACACCCATAAACATAAAACCAAGAAATTGATTCATGCATTCTTTGCACCCATGCTTCAACATTTAAATTTAACCCCTAGTCTATCCCCAATACACACCTATCTCCTTCTTTGAAATTCAAATAGACGTCATAGGACCCTTAGATGTCCCATTTCCCCCAAAATATGCCTTGACTATGGTAGATTGCTACAGAAATATCTGCTTTGCCTTTGCTACCTCACATCCTAATGCAAGAGCTACAAGTACAGGCTTATGCACATGGATAACATTTTTGGGTAAACCCCTACTAATAGAATCAGATCAAGGAACACAATTACTGCAAAAGAAGTACATACTTTTTTTTTTTTTTTCCCATCGCAACACACAAATGAATTTTCCATCCAATATATACTGTGCGTTGGCTCAATCAAGCACGTCAACATATATGTTCTCAGCAAATAATTTCCCAATTCTTGTGTCCTGCATACCTTGCCTTTTGTATGAAGTACATACGTTTTTACAAAACATACCTACCGTATAACCCACAATCGGCTGGCAAAATAGACAGAACTAATGGCCTGATAAAATGATTACTATATATAATAATTAAAACAAAGACCCACAACATTACAAACAGCCCTCTTAACCACATGTACAATTCTAAATAATAGACATAGAAGCCACTTAGACACCCCCCTCTGACACTCCTTGCCACTCACTTAGATACTCAAGACCTACCAACCCCTCTCAAAAACCCCTGCTAATACCCCATAAAACCATAGTCAAAGTTCCGAGAAAACCCATCTAGATTTTCCAACCGAAGCCATCGCATACTCCGGAGCCAATCTCCTCTGGGCTGTAACTGAAAACGGACATCTCCAGAACTCTGA